CCCTGCTTGCCTGACACCCTGGCTGCTCCCCTACCTGCATTCCCCTAGTCCAGGTTACCCAGATTTCTGTCTTCTTCCTGCTTGCTACAAACTAGGCTTTGTTAAGGCTCTCTAATCCCCTACTGCTTGGTTCTGCGGAATGATACGGGCAGCTTAAAGCAATGGGGCACTCTTTCTGGAGGAAAAAAAAGATGAAATAAGTTCATTCTGGTTTCATAAAGTCTTTTTTTTTTTTTTTTTTTTTAACTACGGAAACCACATTTCTGGTTGAGTTGTTTAGTTAGTCAACAAAAATCTCCAGCACAGACCTATCCTAAAATGGAGTTCATGCCATCTGCACTGCATAAAGCAAGCAGGGTCCTTATTTCATTTACTGGGGCTGCTACTTCAACCTCTCCAGAGAAGGCCTGACAGGTAGTTCCAGACTGGGGCTTTTGAGCCCCTTTCCACTACCACTAGAAGAGATCTTGACTCATTCCATTTGATGCAGACCTATGAGCTTTTAAAGTGAGCATACCTATACCCACCCAGTGTTTGACTTATAAAGCCATTTCATTAAAGAATACATTGAAACAAAGTTGACATTTTAGGTAAAAAAAACCCCTCAAAACTCCTGGGAAGCCAGAATTTAAAGATTAAAAAATAAATCTTCTCTGCTCATGATCTGGCAGAGACTGTTGTCAGGATTCAGGTTCTTGCTTAGTTGGGCAATTTTCTGTATCTGATTTGCACAGAAGCTCTACAGAAGTTTCCTGACTTCCTAGAAAAAATTCTCCTTTTTTCTTTTTTTTTTTTAATCAGCCCAGAGACCTTTGTATCCGCTTCCTTCATTCAGCAGCTACAATCCTTGCTCTTAATGCAGCTCTATCTCCTATATTAATCTCCTACATTCTCTTTCTGTGTGCATTAAATTGCATCAGAGGTGTCTTCTAAGTAAAATCAACTGGTAGCAGGAAAGCACAGTCTTCCTTTGATTTCCACAGGGATTTGCCAAACCCAAATTATAGAGGCCAACTTCATTATTTTGCTCTTTCCTGATTCACATTTTTTTTAAAAAAAAGCTTCATGACACTGAAGAATGTGGACAGCAATTCAATCCATGCATCACATAAATCATAAATCCTCCAGGTGAATGTTGTATGTTTACTGTATTCAGACTGTTTTCCCCAATTAGAACATCTTTCTCTCCAGGGTAATCACTACCCAGGTCTGGAAGAAGAAGCTAAATCATGGAAAAAGGAAAGTTCTTACAGACCACAGGAGAACTGAATCTTAAAACTACAATACAGATGAATAATATTATTATGTCACTGGGATCCACACAGAAAGGTGGAAGCTCTGATAGAGGATATGGTATTGACCAAGTCAGACTATGCTCAAAGTACATCCCACAGGTGTTGGAAAGCCCACACTCCATCTTGGATACTATTGAAATTGCCACCCTATTATTTTTTTTAATTTGGGATTTTCATTTTCTGAGCTGTGTGTGTCTAGAACACAGCATTTCCAACATGTATGTGCCACTTCCATAGAGGACGAGAGAGAGGAATAAAGTTAGGCAAACTTTTACTTTTCATTTGTTCTTAAATTCTTAGACCACTGAGTAGATTAAAACAGATAAAAAGGATATGAATTTCAGTCTCACCATCTGTTTCTGTTGTCCATCTTTTCCCATCCACCTTCCGGAGGACAATCTATCAACATGATCCTGATCAAGCACACAGAGGGATGCTAGAGCCAACCACAGCTATTGAAAGGGAAGGCAGAATTCAATGTTTTAGATATACTACATAACTCGCCCCAACATACTAAAAATATTAACTTTGACAGATAAGAACAGCATTTTTTTGGACTACCTTTTTCTCGAAAGTATGTTGCTTTATGGTCATAAATAGGCTAGTTATCACATTAGAGAGAAACAGTAAAGTAGTATCGAACACATCACACAGTAGAGAAATAGGGCAAATACAGGAAAACATTAACACTTCCATATCATTCCCAAACCTTACAGGCTTTGGGGGAAAAAGAAAATGAAGGAAACAGAACTGCCACAAAAAGTAGCTTTAGCCCACTTAGAGAAGCCAAAATTCCTATCACCGCTCCTGTGGTGGCAGGAATGTCATAATTTAAAAGTAACCTGTTGAGGTTAAGTGAGCCCCAGTTTTCAGAGAAGAAAACGAAAAAGATAAGAAGAAAAAGAGAAAAAATAAGGTAAATAAATAATTTGCTCCAACTGCTTGCTATTAACTACTGTAAAAGCTAGTAGAGTTCTTACTCTAGTTGTTGCGATGCATCTTACTGGTGATCTGTATTCTTCTTCCATTTTGGTCAGAGCTATGATGGTTTCAGCAATTGCGTTTTTTGTCACACGGGACCAAGCTTCTGAGAGATGACCCTGTTAAAGAGGGTCATATGTACATACGGTTATATGTAAATGTCTAAAACTGTCCCCTTCAAAACAGTAAGAAGAACTAAAACTGTAATTAGCTGCTACTAGCAAAGTTAGGTTAGGATATCAGGTTAGAACACAAAAAGTCAGTCAGGGAGGACCTCGGCAAATCAGGTACTTCCAAATCAGACACACCTGATGAAATTCACCCTCAAATTCCTATAAATAACTACATATTTATTCCAAGTAGAATGGCTTAAGCAAAAGAACTGAAGACCTACAGCAACCTACTCAACAGCTGTTGGAGAACTCTTCAGGCATGTGGGAGACACTTGTTACACTGGCAACAACCCTTAGAAAGACCCCCGTCGTGAACAAGTGAACTCTTTTTTCCTGGTGTATGGTGCATCCTGTAAACTGAATGAAGTGGACAGCCTAAGGAAAACATATGGGCATTTATGTACAAGAGTCGCCAGATTAATCCTGTCATTTACTGTCTTTTGCAGATGACACTTTTTTAGTCCTATTTTTTTCATATGCAATTTCCGAGTGTGTTGAAAAAGCACAGAGAAAAATAATCCATCATGTGGTACCAACAAGAGAGCTTTTCACTTTAGCTAGTGGAGCAACTGAAGAGTACGTCATCATGTAGGGGATGAGACATACATTAATAGTAACAGTCAACTAAGGGTGAACTGCGTGATTCTGAAATCTTGTGGTCACAGTCAAGAGCAGCATTTGCAGGGAATTCCTACCCTGGCTCAGCCACATTGGAAAAGGATCTCCTTAGTGTAAAAACAGCAAATGCTTTAGAAAATTAAGTTTCAAATTTGAACATGTATCTGTTGAACAAGATGAAACAGAGGTAACTGAATAAAAAAATCTGGGTGATTTTGATCATTTCACTGAATAGGGTATAGAATTAAAAAGTACCGAACTCTACCAAACTACTTTTCTCTCTTCTCCTAATAAGCAGACACAAAGCCATCTTTTCCCTGATATTATTTCTGAGCAACAGCTGAAACATTTTTCACAAATTCTTCTGCCAAAAAAACTTGCCCGAAGTAGATACACCCATGGAAAATGTTAGCCCATATGATGAAACTAAAAAGCAACTATAAATGTAGACTTCAGTATGACTGAAAGAAGCTAAACTTAACGAGAATTTCCACACATAAAAACTCCATATAATTTTGTGAAGAAAACATCTTACTTCACAGACACTTTTTAGTTGGAGTTCTGAGTGCTCAAGACTCTTTAAAAACAGGCTTCTAAGTTAATAATGTAGAAAATAACACTGAATTTTTGTTTCCAGTGACTCATCCAAAAACTTGCTTGAATACTGGACAAATATCTAGCAGAACCAGAAGAGAACTCAGTACTGCTCCTAGGCCTGGAATCCACCCTTTTTCCTTCTCTACCTTTTTTTGTTTGACACGCTCACCTTTAACAGCTCAACCCAGTGCTGACTATAACAGAGATTAATGGGAAAAAAAGGTATTCTTCATTATACCCACCACACATTTAGAATTCAGAAACTTACTGCTGCCATATCTTTAATCAGTTTGATAATGATCTCTGAGATCTGTGTAGGTGTCGAGCCCTTCATCCACCAGTGGCTTTCACCCCGCCGAATATAGCTACAAAAAGACATTTTATAGTACATGAAATAATCACAAATAATTAGTTACTATGTGCCAAAATCTACTAAAAATACAGCACACATTCAGCATACAGCAATTTGTATCACTGTAATAACTGCTGACTCACACTGTCAAAAAAGTGTTATACAAATTTTACACATTATAAAACAAAGAGTATAAAAACGCAAAGCATATAAAGCATATAACTGATGTTTATTTTATGCTATTAGCTTGTAATATAATTCTTTTTAACAAACCTGGAATTGAAAATCATTGGAAGTGTGACTGTAGTAACTCCTTTGCCTGCAGTAGTGCCAGCTGTTCCAGTTATAGTAGTTCCTTTGGCTTTTAGCTGTACGGTGAGAGCTTTGGCAATGCATCCCAAAAACATGTCCAAGATACCCAGTTTATTCCAATCCCCTTTCTCTGTTGAGTGAATGATATCACTTATATCTGCTGGTGGAAGGGATTTCACACCTATGATACTGGCCAGGCGACTAGGGGTTACTTCAGGCAAAACACGCCTTAGCAGTGATGTTACCTAGAAGAAGAATCAAAACACCAACACTCTTATCCAGACAGCTGGGAGGTTTCAGGCAAAATTAAATAAAATCCTTTTCCTTCTTCACAGGCTATTTCTGTGAGAAGGAATTAATCTGTTTTCTACATTTAACTCATGATCGTAAGAAGTTTCTTTCTTGCTTTGAAGTACAATATATACTCAATTCTAGTTTATTTGCTATTAATATACTGAGATGAGGCCTAAACATTTCAGGGCCAATCTCACTTGAACAACACTTGAATTTAATATAGTTTTAATAGTTTCATAGCTTTTATAGTTTTAAAAATATGCTTGGTTTTGACCTTATAATAGCCGTTTGGACAACTGCTTGCACAATACAGACAGTTTGCACAGTTTGAAAGTTTATTTTTTGGTGTTTTTTTTTCCTTTTGAAAAAGATATTGTTGCCAATGGCTGTGGAACTAACGGGAGCTGTCTCGAAAGGATCCACTTCAGCCTCACCAAGTGGTGAGGTGGAGAATGGAACCGGATCAGCACGTGTTTCTTTACACTGAAAGGGCTAGGCCTGAACGAGTTCTTTTCTTCTCGTTATTCCCAACTTGCCATACTCTTCAACTGATTGTGATAACATTTTGAAGCAAAAAATCTGAAACTACACTTCACGAAAGATAAATCCGGGCACATACTATGCTATCGAGGACATTATGTGATCTTGAAGGTTTTCCTAGAAATACCAAGTGAGAGGAGGAAGAGGTGGCTCTCACCTGCCGCTGCACCCTGGGAGAAGCCGTGTGGAGCAAGGAGAAGAGATCCTGGAGCAGGGTGAGCTGCTGAGCCAGGTACTGCCGGCCCACGTTGGAGCCGCTCAGGGCGAGCACCATGGAGAGCAGCTCGAAGCAGTAGGCGTCGGAGGCCGCGTCCTCGTCGCTGGGCTGCGAGTTGGCGTTCTCCTTGCTGGAGATGGCGTGCTCCCACTCCTCGCGCACGCGCGTCGCCTCCATGCGGATGGCCTGCACGATGTGGGCGCACACCTCGTCGTCTCGGCGGGGCTGCGAGTTGGCGTTCTCCTTGCTGGAGATGGCGTGCTCCCACTCCTCGCGCACGCGCGTCGCCTCCATGCGGATGGCCTGCACGATGTGGGCGCACACCTGCCACGCACGGCAGCGCCGTTACACCACGGCAACTGCCCACGGTGACATCTGAAACACGCTCGTGACTGACACCAAACCAACCCGGCCAGGAAATTGGGCCCGCCCTTAAATTACTTTTCTACATAAATTCAAATTTACATTTAATATTTGGATTTGATACTGGATTTGTTCACCTTCATTCTGAAAAAAAATTCCTTCAAGTAAATCTTTTTTAAGTACCTGCCTTTACTTTTAATATAAGATTCAGATAAAAATAAAAAAGAACAAAAAGAAGTACATGTAGTCAACACTTGAAATAACTACTTATAATCCCTGTATGGCCTACTATTTAGGAACTTCAAGAGATTTCAGAAAGCTTTTTTTCATATTGAACATGTTGAAAAAGTTTATTAAAAGATTTTATCAAGAAGTACAAAAGTAATTGAAGCAACAAATCCAGGCTGTCACTGACTATGCAGAAAGGAATTATTTAACAATATACTGACTATACTGATTCTCTTTCGAAGCCTGTAATATATCAAACCTAAATATCTGCGATGGCAGAAACAGTGAGAAAAGATGTTTGAAGAACCTAAACTCTGGAACTAAATCTGTCCTGGCCTATTGTCACAGGACTATTATCAAGAAACAGGAGTAAGTAGCATTTACAACTCAATTCCATAACATTTTAAATTGAGATTAATGGAACATTTTTTTTTATCCTATTAATATGGATTTTTTTCAGTATCAGTCTCATCAGACTTTTATATAAACCCACCCACATACATACTTAAAAACATAAACCAAACCTTGATGAGAACAAGAGAAATTCTAACTAAAAACATCAAACAAAGAGTTCCATATTTACTGAAAAAGAGCATATTTATAATGATATATACAGAATTTAAGCATTCAAAGCATTGAAGAATGGGCTTACCTGCTTCTGTAAATTTGTCAGTTTGCTCCGGCTGAATATGATCCCTACCATGTGCTCTTTCAGGTCTGCATCTGATGTTGCCTTTATATAAAGGATATCCAAGGTTATATCACAAGTTTCAAGAACATTTCCTAATTGCAGTGGCATTTAATATGAAACACCAACAATATTTGTTCTAAAAACCTGCAGCTTTTTGTTACCCAGAAAAAAAGATACATCAGCAAGATCAATCTAATTATGGCCAATAACATGTCTAAGATGCATTTCTTTTCTTCCAGTTTTATAAGGCATGAAGTTGGAGGATGAGAGAAATAGTTAATAATATGTCTAAGATGCACTTCTTCCAGTTTTATAAGACATGAAGTTGGAGGATGAGAGAAATAGTTAACAAAATAATTAATAAGTATAGTAAGTGAAGCATAGTTACCCAAGAGACAGTTTCTCTGTGTAGTTGAATACATTCACTGATTGAACTCTTATAAAGCAGCGTACAAAACATACTTTGCAGTTTATGTATTTAAATGGTTCCCAAAATTGGGAAACACAGTAAGAGTAATCATTTTTTAAAAAATTCTCTGTGCTACAGAATGGGCAAAAAAATGCTGTGAGGAGGTTAAAATTTTTGGCTCAACAACACTTTCTGTACATGAAAATCCTTCTTAACTAGATGATAGTAATGAGGCTTATTATTTTTCAATTGTATCGTACTAAAGGGATAAGCTATGCAGAATATTCTGGCACAAAATACTACACAGCATATTGTTTACAGAGGGAGGATTTGGATATCTTAAATTGTAAGATATCGCTCTTCTATCCTTTGTAGAGCTTGTGAAAATATATTCAGCAACTGATTTTAGCCAAGACAAGTTTACAAGGGAATAACAGGTAGTTTCTCAAATTCAGAATTATCTGCATGCTAAGTTTCAAAGTAATAATGTAAAACAAAGTGACTTTATATTTCAAGCAGAATAATACGGTTACGTTAATACTGTTAGGATGATCGCCAACAGTTATTATAAAAATATTTTTCAGCACATAAAGCAAAAATCCTTGGAAAAATATTTTTAAAAATGTTTATTCTAAATATGGTAGACTGCTTGTTATGAAATGTATATACTGAAAAACAAGAATGAGAATAATTGCAGAAGGTTCCCTGAATAACTGGGCATGAAGGTATCATTCAAAACCAGTAAATACAAATAAATAAAGACAAATCAGAAAGTAATGTCATTTTGGTAATCCCATTTTTAAAAAGTCACTTGAGAGCTATAAAGAGTGCAAAAGAAAATTTGACAAGATCGATTAGGTGAGTAGCATGACTTTCATATGAACAAAAAATAAAAAAAACAAGGCCAAGCTTGAGAAAGACATCACTGAAGGAGAGGACTTTACAGAGGTCTTAGAAGTCCTCTATAAAAAATGACACGGTGAAATGAAAAATAAAGGTTTCATAAAAAATGTGGCAAAGGTAAGCACAAGAAAAAGAGAAGAGCTAGGAAACTTAATTAAGCTGCCACACAGGAGGTATAAGAAGATGAAAAATACAGTTTTCCAAAATGAATAATTAAATCACGCAAATTATTGCCACACGATACCAGGTAGGGCAAAAGTATAACTGAAAGAAAAAAAAAAACATCCCAAACATCAACAGATCAAGTAATCTCTTTTGAGAGACAAGATTCTGGGAAGGAGGGACTTCTAGATTGATCATTACTGCAGCTTTTAAGTTCTTCTGTAATTGTTTACATAATTTACACTACCATTGGTACAGTGTTTCCACTAAATGAAAATGGCCCAATTCAAATTTACTAATGAAAATTATCAACAACTTTTAAAATAATACGCAATGGTGACAGTTTATTACTATTTTGATCTGAAAACTATATGGCTTGAAGACAGGACACATGCTGAAAATTATCCTGGATAACTTTTGCAGCAAAGTAGTATTGAGAGAATACAAATAAATACATTGTGTACTTTTTCCTCTCCTTCTGGGGAAGACAACAGTGCTTTTTCTTCTTGCTCTGGGGTTGGCTCAGCATCTCCAGATATGAGTTTTCCAAATACCTGGAAGGAAGACAAGGACAATTAGCTTAGAGAAACTCACAGAGATGTGACATTTTACATCAGAACAAAGAGCACCAGAAGTCAAAAAATATACAGCAACTTTCACATTCTTCAATATTTTACTGTGTAACACAGTGACAAAATCACACCTGGGATGTAATAAGTCGGAACACCCGCAGCGTCTCGGATTCACAGTTCCTTTGCTGAGTTACACTTGCTGAAATCTGTCCTGCTATTTTGATGCTTTCGCCATCTTTCCATCCAAGAATTTTCACTTGCCGAACTCTTAACGTGTTCTCTGGACCCTTCAATTCAATTTTGATGATGTGATTATCACCACCAGGAAGTTCACTTGTCACCCAGCCAATATGTCTCGAATCCAAGTCTACCTATTAAACAGGAATATAAAGATGGGAACTGACAACACAATATCAAACATATAATTCACCTACATCCAAAGCAAACCCATTATACACTTGTGCACCAATACACCACTTGCTAAGGGATTCTCATTCTATTTTTTTTTTCTTTTTTAATAATGTGATGAAGAAGGTATATGATGCATGAACTAGGGTATAGCGTGTGAGTGTGTTTGAAGATAAAAATCTTGTGGAGAAGTGTAGGACGACTGTGTAAGCAAGGAGAAAGCAAAGCTCAGTGAAGGCTTGCCTGTCTTCTGGGAGTGAACAACCCATGGGAACTCCTGGGCTTTGTGTTTGGGAAGACAGAAAGCAGGCCAGGGAGTGAACTGGCAATTAAACCGTGTGAATGGCGAAAGTCAAGTGCCTGAGCTCTGCCTTGCCCTTAGTTTATTTAACTGGATAGACAGATATAGCAAGTAAGTCTATTCTCAAAAAAAAAAAAGGAAAAAAAAAAACTACCTA